TTATAGGAGTTACAATTAAAAGCTGAGAGTCTAGGAAAAAGTACAGTGAAAAGTGTTACAAAGTTGCTTGAAACCTCCCTGTCAGAAAAGGAGAAGCTTGTGAGAGACACCAAGCATTTGTTCAAATCATTCCCAGTACTGTTTACATTGTTTACCTTCGTATTTATGCTTTCTTTAAATAAATCCTATTTCCTTCAAGTATACCAGCTCAGTAAAGATTCCTTCCTCAGACCACATAGACCTTCATGAAAGCCCAGACCCTCAGTATACCTACCCAGTGAGAAATATTATAGAAAAAGGTTTGGAAAGCCTTAAAATTTTCCTGGTGGCAGCCAGATACCCATAGTAAAATAAAACATAAGAACTTTTAAAGCAAAACTAGACCTCCCCAGATAAGGGGTCGTCACAAGTGGTGCTTGGCGGTGGGATACAAACATCCTGAGGAAGAGAATACATTAAAGAGAGCATATATTAAGTAAAAATGAGACATCCTAATGGTTCTTCTGTGAGGAAATACATCTAAAACACAATATTCCAAGATAAAGCACATAGAATGTATGATACATTTAGCTTACAAATTGGGTTGTTCATGTGTCTTGGACTAGTAAAACAGTTGTTTCAAACACCACGGCCAGCTAACCATCATGTTGTACCTTCAAGACATGTTACCATACCAACAGGTAAAGGGGTACCTTCACAGATGGATCGCCACAATAAAACAAGATATTATTACTATGCAACATATTCTCTGTGATCTAGTCACAAGAAAACAAAAGCCAACTATTTCATACTTCAGTATCTGGTATTAGAAGAGTCTAAGCTGGAGGCTTAAGCATCCTCTATGCAGCTATCCATCGTGATGAAGCATAACATAAAGTGACAGCCTGGTCAAATCATAAAGTTAGCATGGCTTCCCTCTTGCCTATGGCCTTGGCCATCTGGCAGCAGGTGGTCTCCCAAACCCAATCGGGAAGCTCACTTGATGGAGCCTTCCAAAATATGACATCCACTTCCACTCCCCCCCACCCCCTGAAACCGGTTACAGAACTGAACACAGGTTCTTACAGTTAGCTAATTACCAAGTTCTTGAATCCAGCCTTGAAAAAGATAAAGATAGTGTAGGAAAGGAGGTCCAGACACCTGCAAGCCAGAGCAGGCCTGCTAATATCCGTGTTAACCCTTGAGGGGAATCAGGGTGCTTTGCCTCACAGGAGGATAGACCCGAGGTCTGACTTGGTAGAAGAAGGTGTGGTACAAGGACCGAAGAGACTCCATTTTGAGTTTCAGGCTGAAGACGAGAAATAACAGCTTAATAGGAAAATTACACTGCCTGCCTGTAAAGTAGCAACAAGCAGGGGAATTGCACTGTATGGTATGTAAACTAATGAGCTCTACACCAGGTACCATGAGATAAGTCACAAGGCTGCGATAACTTAGAAGAGTTTCTTAACAGCTTAAGATAGCATTCCATCATCCCTTGTCAATTAGAGCAAGTTTATGGTGGTACCAAGAGCTCCAGGGCAGGGGGCGGCCAAACTTGCTCAACATAAGAACCACATGGAATAAACATCAGATGTTCTGAGAGCCACAAGACATGAACACATATTACACCCACACATTTTTATTTTAAAAATATGCCAATTTGCTTTTTATTAACATTAAATGAGGCTGCCAGAAATAAAAACAAAAGGGGTAAGAACAGGTATTGATAATGATATTTATTTGTCCAATGATATTTATTTGTTTGCTAATAATATTTGTCTAAGGGAGAGAGAGAAAGAGAGAGAGAGGTGGAAAGAAAGAGAAAAAGAGAGAGAGAAACAAAGAAAGCAAATAGATGGGGAAAGAAGCAGTGTTCCCTCTAAGCTAAGTTAGTGTGAGCTAGCTCACAGTTTTTTAGCCTCCAGCTCACACATTTTTGTCTTAGCTCAGGAAGGAGGGCTCCAGAGCAAACTAATTTTTGCAGTAGCCAAATTGCTCACTCACAACTTTAATGCCAGTAGCTCACAGAGTAGAATTTTTGCTCACAAGACTCCACAGCAGGCAGGCAGGCAGGCAGGCAGGCAGGCAGGCAGGCAGGCAGGCAGGCAGGCAGGAAGGAAGGAAGGAAGGAAGGAAGGAAGGAAGGGCATGTCTTCCCTTTGCTTCCCCAGCCACCCTGCTGGGAGCCACACAATATGTGTGAAAGAGCCTCACGTGGCCCTGCTCTAGGGGCTGCTACTAATGAGAATATAGATAGTCGAAGTAAGTGTAATTGCTAAGGAATAAAGCAGAGCCAGGTGTGTGATCTTACATGTGGCAGAACTTGCCTGTTCTGGCCTACAGGCCCCATTCCATCCTGCCCTCCTTGGGGTTCCCAACCCCTTCAAGGGGCTTTTCCTTCTCTCTAGGGTAACGCGCCGCCACCACTTGACCAATTTAGGGATTTCCCACTGGGGGCATCAGGACCTTCAGCTCCCCTTCCAAATTCTCAGGCTTTGCCTTGGCGTCTCCTGCTTCCCAGTGCCTGGCTACGACAGGGACAGTTTAATGCCTTCAGTTCCCTTGGGGGAATAGTCAGTTGCCACCTGCTTGCTTTCCCCTCCTCCTGGGGCTCCCTTTTAAAAAAGCATGTCCAAGATGGTGGAGGTCTATGTGGCACAGAGAATCGCTCCCAGAACTAAAAGTTATAAAGTATTTATTGAAAAGAAAATGTTTACAGGCATACTTTTAGCACAGCACTATATTTGAGCAAAAGATACATCATAAAATGGAAACAAAACACAAATCCTCTGTCCCAGCTATAAACATATCCTATCTGATGGTAAAATATAGGACAGGCTCTTTAACTTAGCTGTCCTGGTTTCTCTACAGAAATGCCATTACCTTCAGACCCTTTTCAGATGTCCAGGCCAACCCCAGGGTCAATGGCCACCTGCTTGCAGTCCAGAGCTCTGAGTTCTCCTCAGCCCAGCATCCCAGAGAAAGACCGTGATTTCCTGTTGCAAGGAATTTCCCACCCCCAACTCTGTTTCCTGCCTGAAAGGGGGGGGGGAGAGAAGAGGCTTGACCATCCCTTTGTCTATAGGGAGCCTAGAAAGAAAACCTTTTTTAAATGGCCAGTGTAGGTCTGCTGCTTACCAAACTCCAGGAGACAATGCATTTCTCCATACCATGCAAAGGCAGAGGTCATTTCGGAGGGGATCACGGGGGATCGCAGTTCCCCCGGGTGAGGTAGGGGGACGGGGCACATGACGAAGCCCCGCCCCCTGCTTCCGGCCGCCCTGCTTCCGGCCCTCATTCAGCCAGGAGGAGGCAGGAGAAGAGGGAGGGTAAGTTGCTTCCTCCCTGCCTCTCCCCACCCCTGCCTGCCTGGGACCAGGGAGGAGTGGAGCTGCAAGGCCGGCGCCCGGGACCGTTGGGGGCGGGGTGTGTGGCATTATGACACACTTCAGGTGATGTCAGGGGGTGTGGCATATGTTAATGAGTTATGCTAATGAGTTCCCCTAGCTCTTTTTCTACGAAACGACCCCTGTGCAAAGGTATGGGCATTAGTCAAAAAGTTGTATGGTTATAAAAAGCCTGTGATGTCACTTAGTCTTTGGAATTCAGGCTTTTGAGGCTTGGGTTCCCCTTTGTTCAAATAAAGTTTTCCTGCACACTTCAGAAGCCTCACTGGTTGTGTTTCTGATTGGGAGAAACACGCCAGGCAATGGCCCAGTTGGCTAACAAAGGCACCAAACAAGAACCAATCAGACAATGTGTTCACGTCCCCTTTCAAGACCCTTAGGACCATCTCTTAAAAACTCTCAAGAATACCACAAAGTTGTTTCTCTTGTGTACATATTTTCAAACAAAGAGTTAGTACTGCTGAGGAGCTTATTTTAACCTCTTCGCTAAGAAGAAGAGATTGGATTTATACCCTGCCCTTCACTACCCAAAGGAGTCTCAGAGCGGCTCACAATCTCCTTTCCCTTCCCCTCCCCACAACAGACACCCTGTGAGGTAGGTGTGGCTGAGAGAGGTCTTTCGAGGACTGCTCATGAGAGAACAGCTCTGAAAGAACTTATGAGTGACCCAAGGTCACACCAGCAGTTGCACGTGGAGGAGTGGGGAATCAAACCTGGTTCTCCCAGATTAAAGTCCGCACTCCCAACCACTACACCGAACTGTAGGGTATTGGTAAAAAAACAACAACCCATTCTTACCCTAATCCAACAACTAACTTGATACTTATACTTAAAAGTGCATGGCTAGTATACTCCTCTTACTGCTCCCTTCGGCATTCTACTCTGGCTGGCCTCTTTGCTCTTTCTCCTTTGGGAGATCAGTTATAATGTCAGGAGATCTCCAGCCCCGACCTGGAGGTTGGCCACCCTAGGACACCCCACCATTCGTCTTCTTCCCCTCTGCTTCGCCTTCTAAGGGAATCCTTCGCATCGCAGCAGCCCATTCACTGGCCGGCCTTGTTTGTCCAGCCCCCAGCAATCGCCCCCCTTCTTCGGTTCTGCTGCCAAAGAGATCTTCCCTCCCTTCCGATAAACCCCTCGCACGGCGCCGCGCCGCGGTCCTGGGGAAACTCTCTGTCCTT